AGTTCTGCTGAAGAAGAGTACAGTACTCTTCAAAATTTTCACACTTGGGAACTGGTTCCACTTCCTCCTGATCGAAAAACAGTGGGTTGTAGGTGGATTTTTAAGGTTAAAACTAATGCAGATGGCATTCTTGCTAACCGCAAAGCCAGACTTGTTGTGAAGGGATATTCTCAAGAAGTAGGTGTTGATTACAATGATACATTTAGTCCAGTGATTAAATCGAGTACAGTCAGAATTCTTGTTACCTTGGCCACTACAAAAGGGTGGAAACTCCACCAAATAGATTTTAATAACGCGTTTCTTAATGGTGACCTCACTGAGGAGGTATTTATGGCGCAACCACCTAGTTTTGAATAGGTTTCCAATGATTCAAGCTCAATTCTGGTCTATAAATTGAAGGCCATTATGGACTCAAAAACAAGCTCTTAGAGCTTGGTTTCAGAAGCATAAAGAAACGTTATACGCATTGGGTTTTAAGCAACTTAAATATGATGTCTGTCTATTTCTCAGGACTCGTAATAATCAAGATATATGTCAATGATATTATTATTACAGGCAGTAGTGATGATGTAATCACTCAAATGGGTGATCAAATGAATTCATTCTTTTCTCTCAAAATCCTTGGTGAACTCTCTTCTTCCTTAGTATTAAATTCCATTGTTCTACAGTTGGAATCCATTTGTCTCCCAAAAAAAAAATATCAAGGAGTTGCCATCCAAAACTCATATGCTGATCTCAAATGCAAAACCCAAGACTATGACTACCTGTGCTAAATTTGCAAATACAGATGATCAGGTATTATAAGATCCTACAGTGTATCGTAGCATTATCGGTGCTCTTCAATATATATGCTTAACTCGGCCGGACATATTGTACACAGTGAATAAATTGGCACAGTTTATGCAGAAACCCCTTGATGTGCATTGGGAAGGTAGCAAGCGTGTATTATGTTACTTGAATGGAACTGTAACATATGGTTTGTTGCTTCAGCCTGCACAACATCTCACTGTTCAAGGCCTTGCTGACGCTGAATCAAAAGAAGATAAAAGATTTACTAGTGGATACTGTACTTATCTTGGTCCCAATCCTGTTATGTGGATCTCCAAGAAACAACATGTTGTTGCTCATTCCACCCCTGAGGCTGAGTATAGAAGTGTGGCTGATTCAATATCTGATATACTGTGGTTGCTAGCTGTTCAGAGAGAAATACATATACTAGTTGTTGGTCTACTGATAATTTGGTGTGATAACTCTAGAGCTATTGCTCTTTCTGTAGATCCTGTGCCACACAACAAATCAAAACACTTTGAGATTGACTTATATTGTATTAGGGAAAAGGTTGAAGATGGAACTCTTTGTGTGGGGTATGTACCAGCTGCTGAACAGGTTGTTGATGTTCTTACTAAGGCTCTTCCACCCGCTGCTTTTGCTGAATGTAGAGAAAGACTTAAGAGTTGTACCTCTTGAAAATCTGTACTCTGGAACTTCCTTTAAAAAAAAACAGAGAGAGAGAGAGAGAAGCAGGGAGAATATTAGTCTATTGGGCCAATATTGGCCCTAAGCTTGTTTTCTCAATGAGATCTTTCTGTAATCACTGGATTATTAATGAGAATAATCAAATCATTTTCTCTCTGAATATTTTTCTTTCAATCCTTCATTCGCGCAAATAACTTATTCATTTACCCAGTGCTATCCATTTACTTATTCAAAATCTTAGACTAATCTCTTTTTTCTGTGACATGTATAATGAAATATACGAATGACAGGTCAAGTTTAATTTTTATCTATTCACTGAGTATTATTCGTTTATATTACTTTGTAAAGTTACTTACTCTTTATCAAATTCTTATTCGTCTACTCCCGAGTAAGTGGATATTAAAGGAGTTTTGAATTGTGTTTTTGGATCCTCAAGTGTGAATTACTTGCGTTGATGCTTTGAAAGTGTTTTGCTTCTGTTAAGATTTTATTCTTCTACTAAAGAGTATTTGTATGCTTTTCTACCTAAAGTTGATTTTTGAAAAGTTTTGCAAGTGCTTACCTTTAATGCATATCTAATACTCCTCCGGTCCTTATTATAAGACCCAATTTGACTTTTTATTTGGTCCTAATTATAAGACCCAATCCATTTTGTCTCTTATATTTATGCATTTTTTTCCAAGATAATCCTTATAATAATGATAGTTTTAGCCAATATACTTAATTAGCAAGGATATTTTAGGAATGACAACACTTATTTATTATAAATAACCAACTTAACTTACTTCCTTAATCTCCTCAAATAAGTCAATTGGGTCTTATAATTAGGACCGGAGGAGTATTTAATTTTGATATGAATTACATTATATTAGAATATAATATGCATTAATAGATCCACTTTAATTTTTTTAGGTTCAAAGAAGAGCCAAATAGGAAATCTGATGGTGCAGAATAATTTCTTATGATTCAAGTAAAATCCAATGGCCAAGTTTAAATGGTCTAATTTTATTGCTAATGGGTTCAAATCTTATACCTGAAAACCCTCTTTTGCTCATATAAAAAATATACCCTCCATTAATCCATCGCAACGCCTCCACCATCATCGGCTCCTTCTATTCCCCTCATCACACACATCATCACCCAATCATCATCTTGTCTTTTTCTCCACTCACTTTTCATCCGGTCCCATCACACCTGGTTAATCTTCATCCATCATTCACCAAGGCTGCTTGAGCTAATTTGGAAGGCAACTTAGGAGGAGCACAAAGGAAGCTAGAACCCATGACAAGAAGTGATTCTATTTATTTTTTTAATCCATGAGTTTGAGATTATTTAGTTTTAAATAATTTTGAGTTGTACTATTGGGAGACAATTTAATTCTAGATTGTCACTATTTTTTTTCTTGGATTGAATTTGGATTTAATTTATGCTAGATACTTGCTGGAATTTATTCTTAAAAACCCTTGCATTTTTAAATAAATTTATAATGGAGTTCTCTTTATGGATTTGATTATCAACATATATTGCAAATTTTGATTGTTTCTACCTCTTGATTGTTCAATTGAGTTGGCAAACTGTCTAATTGCAAATTTTCAAAATTAATTTGAATTAATTGTTATCAATTTTAGTGGGTTTAATTAACTAGTCTCATACCATCATGAGTTTTTTTAGTGGTTTAAGTGTTATTAAACTTGAGGGTTTTTCAAGTTTCATCTAGGTAATTAAATCTGTTAATTCCACTCTTGTGTCATTTTCACTTGGGAATATATTGTTTTGGGTTAGGAAAGTTATTACTATTTAAATCCTGAGTTGTCCTTTATACCATACCTAAAACAAATTCTCATTTTTAATTTTCTAATTTTCTTTGCTATTTAGTTAATTTTCTTTTACTGGGCAATTTAATTTTCTTTTCTAAAAAATCCCTCCAAAGTAATATCTGCATTCATTTAGCTTAGTTTCTTCATACAGATTTTAGAATATTTGCATATTGTATTTTAGTTAGTTTTATTGCATTTAGATTTAGTGCTTTGCTGTTATTTTAGGCACATTTTATTGCATCTTTCATCACTTAAATTCACACCTAAAGAAACTCAACTCACTCTTTAGGAGAATGACCTAGTTTGACCCTAACTTACAAAATTATTTGGAACCTAATTTAATTGAGTCCTTTAGAGACAGAAACATCATTAGTTTTCGCTAAAGTACTCAGTTAAAATTAGGTCCCAAAATAATTTATAGTTAGGAACAACTTAAGTCATTACTTCTAAGGAGCAAGTTGGGGATTCTTTATGTATGAATTTAAGTGATGAAATGTGCAATGAAATGGATCTAAACTAAAATTCAAAACACTAAATCTAAATGCAATAAAACTAAATAAGATGCATTGTGCAAATGCATTAAAATCTATATGAAAAATGAAATTAAACTAAATCAATGCAAATGCAATTTTTTTGAGGTCTTTTTTAGAAAGAAAAATTAAAATGCTAATCAAAGGAAATTATAACTAAGTAGTAATGAAAATTAGCAAAGCAAAAATGATAAGTTTTAACGGAGACAACTCAAGATTCATATAAAGTTAACTTTCATAGCCCAATTCAATTAATTAGACCACAAGAGACACAATAAAGGAGAGGAATTAACAGATTTAATTACTTAGATGAAAGGTAGGAAACCCTCAAGTTTAATAATAACACCTAAACTACTAGAGAAATTATAATGGCATAAGATTAGTTAATTAAATCCATTAAAACCAACAATAATTATTTCAAATGAACTCTAGAGATTATGCTTAAAATTATCTAATTGTTTAAACTAGACAATTTACCGAATCAATTGAACAATCAAGAGGTGTAAACAACCCAAATTTGCAATATAAACCTCATTGATACTCAAATCTAGAATGAGAACTTAATTATAAATTTAATTAACAACATAAAAGCTTGTAAACATAAATTGCAACAAATATCAAGAACAAGTTAAATCCAAATAGTAATCTAGTCCAAGAATAAAAATAGTAATAATCTAGAACTAAATTATCTCAAAAACAATACAACTCAAAATTACTTAAATTAAAACTAAATAATTTCAAGCTTTTTGAATACAAAAATTAAATAGAGTCGCTGTCCTATGGTTTTGAAGTGCTAGTCTATCAAGGCTCTAGCTCTCTTTATACTTCTCCAAAGTTTTCTCCAAGCTAACTCAAACTCCCATGAAAACCACCCTTCCTCCAAGCTTAAACCTAGCATTAATATGTTTGTGTTGCAACTTATAACAACAATAAAACCTTATCCCATTAAGTAGGGTCAACTACATGTTTGTGTTAATTTAAAAAAAAAAAAAAACAAAAGAAACATTGAGGTTTGTTTTATTTATTTACTTGTTTTTAATAGAATGTATTCTGTTTTCTTTATAAATATCGTTTTTATAGAGCTAGTTTGTAAATTTCTTGATCATCACCATACATATTTTCTTATTGAACATGGGCATATATGAATAGTAAAACTTCTGATTTGAAAACGAGTGGGTAATGACCAATCATTCAGCGGAAGATATATAAATCATGCTTAAAACATGGTTTTTGACTAAATGCCTTCCTTAAGTAATCCTCATCAGAGTCCTCATACTATAATTTGGTAAACATGACTGATAGAAACAGATTGCAAGTATTTACATTATGTATCTGAGAAGAAGATCACTAGGTAAAATCCTTATCTTTCTCAAAATCGCTTTCAGGAGATTGAAAAGGGCTAGAATAAGCATCAATAAGCATCTTGACAACACCTCTCATAGAAGGACGCAAAGAAGGGAGCTTAGTTGTGCACTGGATAGCAACCTTCAAGACCTTAATCATTTCATCTTCAACAGACTCAGATGCTATTTTATCATCAAGGATCTTGATAGCGCTTTCACGGGCATTCAGATTAGTCATAGCCCAATATACAATATCCTTCCCCTCTCCATAATCCTCCTCAATGGGTTCCCTTCCTGTAAGTAATTCTAGCAACACCACTCCAAAGCTATACACATCACTCTTTTCAGTAACTTGGCGTGTGTAAGCAAGCTCTGCAAGAAAAGAGTATATTATGTCAGTGTTAGAAGTTAATTTGACAATGTTCCAGGTAATGTTTATAAAGAAAGCAGAAGTTCAAGACACTCATAGGAAAAAATTGATGCTTTGTAATCCCAGTGTTAGTTGTGTATTTTTACAGTTTAAAGAGGACCACAAAAAGGGGACCAAATACTTCAGCCATACCCGGGCCGTATTTGCAGGTTCATTAATTAAGTTTAAAAAAATCACATCTGTTTTGCGGAGGCATTTGAAACCTTAACATGGTTTGTTCAAAAAACAATTGAAACTAAGCCTTTTCAATGTCATTTTATTTGCATTCAATCATAATTTTAAGATTTAAAGCAATGATCTCATAGCAGATGCAGCTGCAGATGTTTCAAATACACTTTTCTGTGTAAAAAATTAAATGGGATTCACTTTGATCCTTTGTCAAGAGACATTTATTTCCATTGTTATAAATGAATATGAATAATATCAGCAGTGAAGATACACAAATCGCTATGAAGAGTGAGATATTCAGAATAATTCTAAGTCCATGGTTTCTATGCATTAGGACACTTCTTTTTATTGCTATGGGTATCAAAAGTAAAATAGAGAGAAAATTATTTGTGAACCAAAATGAAATATATCAGAGCTAGAAAGTGTTAGTGAGAAAGGGAGAAAGTAGGGAGGAAAGAATACAATTTTATGCAGTGTTCCCTACAACTTCTCTGCTCATTAGATGAAAGTGATTAAAGGACATGAGAATGGAGGATCATGATCGAATTGGACGACTAAAAAATGAAATTAACTTTGAATTAAAAGTAAATAAACTGGGATGCATTTAAAATGTATTTTGCAGCAAAGTCTACATCAGATTGTCCTATATATAGGTCTAACCAAATCCACATATGATAAAACACACAGCGTCAATATAGGAAAAACTTCAAGAGCATAAACAGAACGATGCTTTTATTTGATAAAAATCCTTACCTGGAGCAATATAACCATGAGTGCCAGCAAGACAGCTAAAACCCAGCTGTTGATCAGTTCTTTCTGCAAATTTGGCAACCCCAAAATCAGCAATTTTCGCCTCATAATCCTCATCCAGCAAAATGTTACTAGATTTTATGTCTCTGTGAATGATAGGTGGAGAACAATCATGATGTAAATAGGCAATTCCTTTTGCAGTGCCCAGTGCAATTTTATATCTCTGGTACCAATCCAATTCTGGTTTCCCACCCTTCATCTGTCGGTGAAGAGCTTGAAAAAGATTACCATTTGGCATGAACTCTAACACCAAGTAGTTTGATCCTCCTTTGAACAAAGAAGCATAAAGCTTAAGTATATTTCTATGCCTGATTTTTCCCAAAGTCTCCATCTCTGCCGCCAAAATTTTTACGCTATCTCCTTTCCATAGTTGTTTTACAGCCACCGTGGAACCATTTTTCTTCAAGTCAACTCGATATACCTTTCCAGTACCACCAGTTCCAATCAAATTATCTTCATCCAAATTACATATTTCATTCACATCAAGATCAACTTGGTGGAAAGAAGCAATTTTCCATTTTGAATCTGTTTCCTTTTGATCTTGCAAGTTTTTCTCCAGGTCTGCTTTTTCATGCTTGATGCTTCCGTAACTCACAAGCAACACGGCCAACACTACAACCAAGACAGAAGCAGTGACGCAAAGAATTACTACCTTATCAGCGAAGACCCTTTTCTGACCATGTATGCTTGTACAAATGTTGAATTCGGAATTCACTAGAGTTTTTGAATTTTGTTCAACACAAAGTGCTGGGTTTCCAACAAAAGCTTCATCACCACCAATGATTAGAAGATTGTTTGGAATTCTCCCAGACAACTGGTTTTTGGAAAAATCAATCGAGCTCAATTTCATTGACACTAAGCTTTCTGGGATTGAGCCTGTAAGTTTGTTGCCAGATAGATTAAGAGAGTTCAATGAGCTCATAAGTGAAACTGACTGAGGGATAGTGCCAGTTAGAAAATTCCGAGCAACATTCAAGTCCACTAGCCTTGTACAATTACAAAGTTCCGCAGGTATTGATCCAGTTAATACATTCTCTTCTAGATGAAAAGAAGACAATTGCTTAAGAGCTCCAATTTCGGCTGGTATTTCACCATGAAAATTGTTGTTGCTCAAATATAGCTTCTCCAAATTCATCAGCTTACCAAGTTGTGCAGGAAGCTTACCCGAAAACTTGTTCTTTGTTAGAACTAACTGGCTTAAGCTAGAGGAAAGCCCAATTTTTGGAGATATAGAGCCATCAAAATTATTGTCAGCCAAATCAATTATCTTCACAAATGGAAGTGCCCACAGCTCATTTGGAATTTTTCCAGACAAGCGATTCCTGCTCACCCTGAATCTCTCCACTGATTTACATGTAACATAAGTCTCAGGCAATTCACCGGAGAAATTATTTTGCAAAGCAAGCAAAAATTTCAATTTTCTGTTTTCACACAAGAACTTTGGAAAATCACCTGAAAATTGATTCTCCGATATATCAATGCTATCCAGTGGTGAAAATCGGCCAAAATTTTCTGGAATTTTCCCAGAGAAGCTGTTTCGATAGATTGAGAATCCAACAAGATGTTGCATATCTCCAAACCCAGCAGGAAGTTCTCCCGAAAAGTTGTTTTCATAGAGCTGAAAAACAACCAAATTCTCCATAGTACCGATCACCTCTGGCAATTCGCCATATAAATGGTTCATTGAAATGTCAATCTCTTCAAGCTTGGTCAAGTTTGCCAGCTCAGCTGGGATTTTCCCAGTTAAGGTATTTGAGAAAAGCTCAATCTTACGAAGATTTTCCAACTTCCAAATTGACTGGGAAAGTTTCCCTGAGATCATGTTTCTCGAGATATCCAGTGTCTCCAGAGCCTTCATTTCATAAACTGATTCTGGAATCTCTCCTCTCAAATGAGAACCACCAAGATAGAGCCAAGTCAAGTTCTTCAGATTGCCAAGAGTCTCAGGAACTTCACTCTCAATATATTCATTTTCCCCAAGCCCCAGCGAAACGAGACCAGTCAGGTTTCCGACCCAGCTTGGGAATTCGCCGGAAAAGTAGTTTGCGGAGAGGTCAAGAACTTTGAGATTTCTCATCACAGACAAGTCTGGGATAATCCCAACCATATCATTTTCTGTTAGGTTCAAAACTCTAAGGTTGCTGCAGTTGCTTACTTCAAATGGAAGCTTCCCAGAAATAAAATTTGATGCGAGTGACAGAACTCGGAGGTTCTCGAGAGCAAAAATTGATGCGAAAATCTCCCCGGAAAGGGACTTGTTTTCCAGCGAAATTCCTACGACTTTCCCGGAAAATCTATCACAAGTAACTCCATGGAATTCACAGGGAGACTCTGAATCTGTCCAGGAAGCCAAAGAATCCAAAGGGTCCTTCAAATGCTTCTTGAACTGAAGGAGAGCCTCTGTTTCTACGCTTACAGGCATACATGGCGGGAAAATGATGAACAGAATCGTAAAGAAACGAAACAAGAAAAAGCGTTTCTTGGTCATTAGGAAGAGAGCAAAATGATCAGTTTCTTCCAAAGCAAAGAGAAGAATAGTATTAATGTCTAAGCAGTGGCGAATGATCAACGCACCATTATTGCAGATGGGTCTCCATCCTCCAATGTCGAAATAGCTCAGTGACCAAGAAATCCATTCCCTGCATGAATAATGAATAAAATATACCTATTAAAAGATAAACTTCTGTTCAGTTAAATAAGTAATTCTCCATTTAAAATTAAATAATATTATTTCTTTTTTAATATAAAAACTGAATAACTAATTTAAAAATATTAAATGAATTAGTTAAGTGGGCTATTTATTATAAAAATGTGTTAATATTTTAAATTTTTTTTAATTATGTGTATTGAAACTTCGTAATATAGAAGAAAGTGACTTAAATCTTATACTTATAACAAAATCCAATCCTGAATTAGCTCTTATATTAAAGAAAGGGATAGTAATAAAAATAACTGATATTTATTGCTTTTTTTAAAAATTCATAAATAAAAGATTATAAGTATTATTAAAAATAAAATAATAAGGCATAAAATGTTTTTATCAAAATATTAGGCTTTCTATTACATTAAATTATATAAAACTTTACCTTAAATTCCAATTTTGGCACCTAACGGTTTAATATCCTATAGGAGAAAGTGGTACCTAATCTGATATTTTATAAATATAGTTAAATAATTAAAATTCCATTGTTTCAAAAAGTTTATTAATAATTTGTGAATTGACAAAAACAAATATTAAATAGCAAATAATATGAAATTTACTGCAATGACGAGTTTGAAATAAGAATATTTTTAATCATTTAACTACTTGTACAAAATGTCAGATCATGCGTTTTTTTTTTCTATCTTGAATTTTGAAGTGTCGGATGCCTAAATTGGGATTTCACAACTTTCATGTTTTTTGTCCTTTTCCCTTAATATTATTATTAAGAGATTAAGTAATAATTAATGTTTAAACATTTTATAGTTAGGGATCCGTATAATCTATCATTGCCTAAAAAATCTACGATGGAAACAAAAGGTAACGTTGAAACGTCAATTTTTGTTTGTTTGTAGCCGTGGAAACAGTAAACTGTAGTACCGCCATTGCTATAATTGAAATCCAAGAAAAATAGCATGCTTGGAAGTTACTCTTCTGGCTTCCATCATTTTTACTTTTTGCATAATTGGTTTAATCTACCAAATTTGCCCTTAAAGCAAAGAACACCTAATTATGGGTAAGTTAGAGTAGCATTATTTTTAAATCATTGCAGCCAATTAGCAATCATGGAAACTTTTAGGGAATAATTCATTACATTCTAATTAATCCGTGAGCTTTTCTCAATGTACAACATGCTGCAATTTCAATTCTGTATGACATTCTTTTGGCTTTCTCTCCATCTCCAAGAAAAAGAGAATAGAATGGATAAAATATTCCCAAAAAAGGAATAAATTTGATAAAAACGAATATTTTGTTTTCATTACATGTTAGTAAAAAGTGATTCCAACATACTAACCTATTAAATAGTCGGATTTTACTTCTAAAACATTTTAACCTGTAAAACTTCTCAATATAAGGCATAACGATTTACTTCATTCGAAAGCTTTCACTTGGCCTCTTACAGGTCAGAAGACTCTATAAGTGATCCTCTCCTTAAACATTACTTTCTCAATAATAAAAGCACCAGTATAACAATCATAAACACAAAACAAATTTATCCTAAAAGACTATCATGTTAGGTGGGAGAGCTCCTTAAATTTGTAAATCCTACTTCACTTGTGATGCTTCTATATAGAACTCACAACAAATTAAAATTTTTAAAATAAATGTGAAATATAATCTCCCTCAAGTGCAATTTGGGCGCTGGTTTTGGGTCTTTTTCACTCTTCCGCCGGAAAATTACATAACCTGGAGAGTTGAGAGAGATCGTAAACTTGGGGGGGAAATGGAGAAGGATTTTAGCAGATGAAACTAATGGGTATTCACTTTTCAAGGTGAAGAAAAGGATAAAAATTATGGGAAAGATGGGTAAGAAATCCGAGTGGGAAGTTTCAACGAGGTTAATTAATTGTGAGCAAAGAAAAGGCTAGAAGTGGGAGCAAAGTTTGAAAGTGAAATTTGGGGGCAAAACGTTAGTGGTAGTTGGTGAGAGTTGTGATCCAAGAAAAGACAAAGAGAATCCAACTAAGCAAATTGTCATTCACCAGTAGGTAGAGACAAAAATATTAATATTATGAAAATTTAATTGGGAGATTTTTTTTTTTTTGGACTCAAATTGGGAGATTAATTACCTTTGAATCTGTCCAAAGCAAAAGAGAACAAACTAGGAGGAAGGTGATTGCTTAAGTTACAGAAAATTTCAAAGGCCTTGGCTTTGCGTTGGGAAGAGTGAGTGAGCCTTTTTGGAGAAGCGTGGGGTCAAGCGGAATTAATAAGAGTGGGCTTTACAGACTGGAATTTTGGTGTTGTGTGTGTGCCTCTCACACCTTTCATGTTTCTGAATTTGATGTTCATCCCGTGATAGGCCGCAGAAAAGACGTGCGATTGTTGCATTAGCTGCATTCTCTTCATGTTTTCCACAATCTATGACATGTTTTTGGGGAAATAGGTTGAATCTACGATGGTACAACTTCACAAAATATTTCTCATAAAAATTTCTATTAATGCTTTCAAGGCGAGAATGGGTTTTTTTTCTTTTCAATTATTAAGCGAAGAAAAACTTATTATTAAAATGAGTTAATGTGTTTTGCTCAAAAAAAAAAAAAAAGAGTTCATGTGTAATTTTAATAATTAAGTTTGTGAAAATCCCATATAAATACCATTTGAATTCTAAAATTTTAAATTAGTCATTCTAATTTGACAATGAACAAATAAGTTTACAGGTATTAAATTGTGATTTACAAATTTTGACAAATTACCTCCATTTCTTTTGTCTCGTTCCTTTTTGTTTTCTGTCCCTTCAAGTTTTTTTTTTGTTACAGAAAAGTTAGGTGAATTGGATCCCAGGAGCTCACCAGGGTCAGGACATACTTCTGACTCAAAGAATGCTTACAGAAGTACTTATAGATCACCCACCAATAAGTTTCTCACGTCGGCGGTGGGATTCGAACTCACGACCTTATAGGTTATGAACTGACTCCTTACCAACTGAACTGGTCTCTCGCTTCAAGTCGTAGAATCAGGAAGAGATCTTTTGTTTTCCTGCAGGTCCTCTTTCTTCATTGAGGGGTGGTCCAACTGACAGACATTTGGGCATGAATTGTGGAAGGGTTTGGTTAATGTTAAAACATAAGATGCCCAAATTCTCTCTCCTTTTTCATTGCAAGCTTCCTTCCCCAGTTTCTAGTATTGGCCCAAAGCAATCCCATTAAGGGATTTCCAGATTAGGCCCGAGCAACAAGAAGAAAAAGAAAGCATGAAAAAAAAAAAAACCTATAGGAAAACGAACAAAATAAACGTACTTACTGGCATCTTTTTGGGTCAAAGACCAGCACTAATGCCCAAGCACAAGTGGAGAGAAGAAGTAGGGTTAAAGTAGGGGGAGAGAGGGGATGAAGAAGCACCCACAGAATAGGATAGCTTTATGCAAGATTTGAGAGTATTATAAGAAACTAATCTTCTAGTTTTGCAGCATTTTGCCTTAACTTCTTGTCTCTGTAATGGGGTTCATTTAGTTGAAAATTTTGGGAGTATATTGGTTAACTTTCTACTAGCTTCTAGTGAAGTTGTTCTTAAAGTCTGCTATCTTGTTAGTCTTCATTTTTTGCTACATTCTATTAATTCAGGAATAAGTACTAAATTTCATTACCTGAGCAATAAATTTTGATGCTTGAGTAGTAAATAATCCTAGTTGTTTTGTGCTAAAATGACAACAATTAGGATGTGAATGAATATATTTGTATTAATAATGACAACTTTTCTATGAGGCCAAAGAGGTTGACTTCTTATTGGAATTGGATTCATTTGTTAATGGAATTGACCAAATTTGTTATGGTAATGACTACATTGTTGTAAAGCAAATCTAGTTAAGTGGACTATGGGATTTACTACACTTCTTAAATGGGATTGACTACATATATTTTGATAATGACTAGATTATTGTGAAGAATATAATGAATGACTATGAAGTGGTGTTTTTGTATGAGGGGAAAATGTTATTGGAAGGAAAGCCAAGCAAAGAAGTGAAGAATAAATATATATTGTTTCGAAAAGAATTTCTTGAGTTGGGAAAGAAGTTTAATAATAGCACTTGTACAGACAAATGCATTGTCTAACTATACATTATTATCATATTTGACTTAAGATTGTAGACAAAATTCGTTTACAAAGATATATTTAATCATTATCATTGTATAGTTATTGATAATAAGTGCTAATTATGTTTACTTTTGGGTGTCATTATAATAAAGGTAGCTTTTGACAATGTTTGTGAAGTGATTAACAACTTTCGAATCAAGATACCAATTTCCATAATGCATTTAGCAACTTCTTTATTTGTTGTAACACCTTAATTTTAGACTATACATAAAGCCAAAACATGTCAATTGAAACCACTTTGCATGACATTAAGCTTGGAAAACTATATTTTGAAAAATTACTTTCTTGGGTTACTATTCATTTGGTAACCCTAAAAATATTGTCAACTTTAAAAATTCATAAGTAATTCTAAAAAAATTGAAATGAGATTATTTCAAGTTTTATTTGAAACTCATTCAATTCTCTATGGAGGAAAAATATCATTGGTCAAATATTGAATCTATTCGGGCTCCATTTTCCTTCCAAAAATTACTGTTTATTTGATCAATTTTTATTTTCTAGCTTTTTGCCTAAATTTCAAAAATTATATCTTTTCAGACAAAACTCCAATTCAGATGATCTACTACTTCATTTGAAGTTTAAAATATGATATCTAAGTCTACCAAAATTTACAACCAGATTCCATCATTTGGTCATAAAAGTCGTAGTCTCAAAGGTAGGGTTTTACAAACAATTTTATCTCATTTAATTGTTCGAACTTGTGAAGTTTGATTTCTAACTCCCATTTTTACTAAAAACCATTCATACCATCATTGATCATATAGCACAATACCTCCCACGAAGTGGCAGTAACCATCCATTCAAGCATCCATCACAACATACATTACATAGTCCATTTAATCCATTATACCAAACACATAA